ATTCTCTAGGGGATGCCCGGGAAGAAGTGGCATTCTGCTGGCCTGTTAGCGTTGGGCTTTGTTTTTCTCTAAACTGGTTGATTTCCTCCTTCTGTTTCTGTGTTTCGGTAGCCTTTAAAACAACAGAAATACATCCCTGGCTTAAACTGGGCAGTCTGAGGCACCAGGTGTCGCAGGAGCGATGGGCGCTTCTCCTGTAGAAGGTAAGAGCGTCCGCAGCCACGTGTGTGCCGCCCTTGCTGGAGGCAGAGAGCCCTCTCGGGAATGAGCTGTCTGTGCCTGTCCGCCCCGCAGCCCCTGGCCCGCGGCTTCCGTTCTTCACAGAAGATGGAAAGTGCTTTGCGTGGCGAGATGAGCGTGGGATGTCGGGTGCACACTCTGCGCGGTGCTGAGAGCATCGTGCTCACCTGTGGTCCACCCAGAGTGGGAAAGAGCCGTGACGTACGAGCTGTTTTATGTCCGGGAGGCTGAAACGTGGTACACGGGGCGTGCTGCGCTGCTGAGCCGGAGTCTGCCTCGTGCGGTGTTCTGCCTGGTGCACTGGCACAGGTGTTGCAGGAGCAGGCTGGGCGAGACTCTCTTCCAGAAAAGCTAGAACGGTATCGTTAGGTAAATGTGTCTCCGTTTCACAGTTTCTCAGAGTCTGAGAGAATCATCCAGAAATATCTTGAAACTACTTGTCAGTCTACACTCCATTTGAAGTTTTATTGGATCCATGAGGTTTTTTTAATCTAATTTGAAAACCTGTTTCAATTTATATTAAAAACTACCTCTTTCAAGATTTCAGGGATTCCTCAATATCCCAGTTTTTTATTTAAAAAATGAAGACACAGTCTATTCTCTTATAACATTATACAGTCTGATCATACTTTTCAGTTGTTATCTTTTCCAATAATTTTAACTTTTAAGGATCAGAGTTCACAGAATTTTTTTTTAGAGACACGGTCTCACCGTGTCACCCAGGCTGGAGTGCAGTAGCACAATCACAGCTCAGCTCAGCCTCAAACTCCGGGCCTCACATGATCCTCCTGCCTCAGCCTCCCACGTAGCTGGGAATACAGGTGAGTGCCACCGCACCAACCTCACAGAAAATGTTTAAATCATTTGATTTAGCTTATGTATTTATCTCTCACTCACTCAAGACTTTTAAGCCTTGCTGGATTTTTGGCAATGAGATTAGTGTAAGTGACGCATCATGGTATTACAGTGATAGCAAGAAGAGACTTTCTTGTCTGTTTTGGTCCTTAGGCTGTAGGACCTATAATTTTTTTTTGGAAGCTAGTTATTCACAAGTCTTTTTCTTGAATCACAATATAACATCATAGTCCATTATCTTATACATTACAATTAATAATGTGAGATATGTTTTTACTTATGTTTCATTTCCCAGAAGACTTTAGCATTTCAACTTAAAACAGACATCCTAGTAATTGTATTTTGGCACTTGGAGAATTACTCTTTAGATTACTTGTTTTCTGATATTTAGGTAATGTACCGCCCAAGGATTTCTGAAAGTATAGATACAGTCTATTCATATGTTCACTTAGCAAACATTTACTGATTCTTTCTGTGGGAAAATCTCAATGCCAGGGGCAGTGGGCAATGAAAAAAAATCACCACGGTTCTCCAGTTCTCCCCTTGAAAATTTCCTGAATATTTGAGAAATCAGACCAAAAAAAGGAAAGTATAATAAAACCAGATGGACAACATGCTCGAGGTTTTTGCCAGGTTCTCCAAGGCCACATAAGAAAGAGCTACGTATTTCGCTAGGGCGTGTTTTGGAAAGATTTCACATGGGAAATCCCATCAAAAATGAGGCATTTTATTAAAAGGCAAAGACAGTAAGACAGCAGAAACAATGTAGCATTGTAATTTCCAGGACTGCGCTATACTCACCTATCAGACCCATAACTGAATCTTTAATGTGTGTCAGCTGTAACCGACCACCTTTTGGAGCATATAATTTAACAGAAAGTTCCTAGTGGTGGCGGGTAGCACATCCAGAAGAACACTGATCAGGCTAGGGGTGCTGGGGAATTTGCCGCAGGTGTTCAGTGTTCGCCAGAGGTCTGGTCTGCTGCTGCTGTTGAGTCTCACTGCGAATCACGGCAGAGTCCACGGCCCTGAACATCTGCACCGATGGACATCACGAATAATGGAAGTTTGATCCACACTGTGACTTCAGAAATGTATGTAAACAGGCTCCCGTTGTGAGTCTTGGTACAAAGAGAAAGGAGCCTCCTCCAAAATTCCTGCAGGAAACGCTTCACGACTGTCTTCCTAACATTATTCAATCCGTGCGCCTTTGTGAACGCACTCTAATGGCTATAATGAAGACCAGACAATGCGATAAACATTATGACGTATTGCTCTTCTTATACACTCCCTCTCACACACGGGAAATTGAATATCTGGTGTGTTGAACAAAATTGGGGTCATTTGCTAAACTTCACCATTAGTTTGCTATATTTCTGGGGTTTCTTGATATTTGATGAAAATGTTTTCATAAAAATGTCATCGGTAGAAAACAGTGTCTCTACAGTATCCGGCGGCCCCTAGAGGGCTGCGGGCAGCATCCGATTCCCGCCTCTAGAAAATCTCCGTCTTCTCCCGCCAAAGGCAAATGTATTTTCCTCTGTGCTCTTTAAGTAACGCGCTTTAGCTCTGCTTTGCTATTTACAGAAGTACCGAAGTTCTTTATTTTGTTTGCCTGCTTGCTTTCTTGCGGGGTTGTGGGTCTTCAGAGGTTGGGCTGTGTGCTACATTTATATTTGCACTTCTAATGAGTGGCATGATGTCTGGTACCCCAAAGATATTTGAATCACTATCTGTGGAATGAATAAATCATTAGTGAAGGTGTGATATCGGCGAGGGACTGTGTGGCATCATCGTTCCTCATACCCCCGGTTCCTCCTCTCTGGCGCTCCCTGTGCACCTGTGTGCCCTGCCCCCACCGCCTGCATCCCGTCACTGCGGGTCACTGTTCAGGAAGAAGACTCAAACTCCTCCGCTGAATTTCAGAATTTAATCACGTAAAAGGGTAAGAAATTCAATCAAACTGCTACACAGTTTGTCAAGAGGAAAAAATGAACAACGGTGGCACATTTTCCTGAGTTTTATTTACGTTCTGGAAAATGGTTTCCTCCTGACCTAACCACCACTGAAAAGAAACATTGTTTCTTAAAATGTCACCAATAAATTTAGCAGAGTGATATTAAGCATTCTATAGGAGAAACCCTAGCCAGTACAAGAAAAAATTCATCTAGCATGAGTTGCACACTTTCTCTGAACTTTATTCTCCCTAAAATTATAAGCATTGATTATTTGAGAACAGCCAGTGTGTTTGCTATGCAGTGAATCTTAAGACTGAGTTGCGTGACGTCTGTTAGCAGTTAAGGGACAGAAGAGAAGATAGTTTATATCCCCAAAACTGAGATCATTTCTACAGAGTGGAATTCACACTCATTTTCTACTTAAATCCAAGATGAACCTGTTACTAGGGTATCAGCACCGTGTGGATTATCTCAGTTTGGGCATCGTTACAAGTTTCTTTATGTCACGGTTCACGGTTTGGTCGATTCATCTCCCACGCGCCCTGTGGCAGGGCCGTTATCGAGTGGGTGCAGGGGTGTGACGAGGCTCAGTTCAAGGTAGCCTTGCTTCTCAGGAGTGACACGAGCTGACTGCCCTCCTGTCACCAGACTGCACAGGGTCCACTGCGCCTCGCATCTGGTCATTGCAGTGCAAGTCGCTATCTCCACATCGCCCCTCGGCAGGCCTGGGCGCGACCCTTCCTCCTCGTGCCCTGTACAGACAGTCGCGGGCCATGTCGTCAAATATTCAAAAAGGGCTAAACCACAGAAACGAAACTTCATTTTTATAGAAATTTCATCACAAGTATATAAGAAGTTTAGATATTCAGTTCTAGCCCATTCTTCAGATGCCGGGTGAGACTTGGGCTGGTGATCATGTCAGCGAAACAAGCAATAACCTTGGAGGAAGTCGTGCGCGCCCAGTGCTCGCTGCGGCATGACTGAGGATGCAGTCTTGTGACTAATTGCAGAGCCAGCATTAAATGCACGACATCCAGGAACGGAAGAGCAAAGACATCTATTTTGTTTCAATACAGTATAGAACTGTGGCATTGTGAGTAATTATAAAATTGCTACATCTCTCTCCTAACGGGGATAGGAAACTGGCTGGGAATGGCTCCTTTTAAACAGGGAGTATGAAGAGATGGTTCCTGGGCCTGGAAAAGAAGAGGTGACATCTGGGCCTGAAGACACTTCCCGTGCACTGCGGGGAGAGGAAATGCATGTGTGCTCCCCTCCTGCACACACGTGTGCTCCCCTCCTTCACACATTGTCACTAACAACTGCACACTCACCTTGAACCATGGATCTTACAATGCTCTTTACCAATTTTTCAATCTGGGAACTAAAAATAAAGATAAATGCAGGGAGATATATCTCATAATGCCTAAGCCTCAGAGACACTAGATACTAGATACAGAGATACTAGATAACTGGATACTTTCTAGTTTATGAAATAATCTAAAAATCTAAACAAATAATGCTCCTCTAGAATGATGCATCAGTTGCTTTATATCACCATATCCTTACCTTATGTATATAGCCTTATTTCCTAAAAAAAAAGACTTAAATGCTTTAATGATTCTGCACAAGTCTTCATATCCCTTAATTGAGTAGCATAGAGGCTATTTCAGCATAGTGCAGAGATCTCTGGTGGAGATGCCTGGAGACTGCGCAGGGCAGGAGGTGGCGGGTCTGCGCTGGGGAAGGGGACTCGGGCGGGGATGAAGAGCCACCGTGCACAGTGTGGTTGCTGAGTACAGAGGTGCAGGGTCCATGTCTGAGCTGCTGATTTTATTCTAGCGGAAGCGGTTTAATGAAAACTATTAATTTACGCTAAGAAAAAAGTAAAGGAAACTTTAGGAATCAAGCAAGAAAAAGGCTGACGTCCTGTCACTTTATGTTTAGATGCACGTGTCAATTTAATGACTGTGGAATTCCTTGAAACTGGTGGAAAATCCTGTGCACACACCATCTCTTCATGGTGACGGCGTAGCAAGGGGCTGTTATTTAGTGGAGACCGTGAGTCTTCCTGCGGCAGTAAAGGTACTTCTACCAGAAAGCATTAAAAAATTGAGAAAAAAAAATTAAAAAGCCAACAAGTACTCAAATATATGGCTTTCATAATGGAAGTCTGTGAAGGCATTTAAATGACAGTATTAGGAAATAGGTCACAGATCTATTCGATTGTCTTCCACCCGCAGCACCACGGGGGCGTCTCTGCCCCTGGCTCTCCACAATGACCGGGTCACGGAGAGCCCTGGATCGTTCACAGGAGCCACTCAGAGGCCCAACGTGGGGTCTGCCGTGGCAGGTCTTGGGTTGGATTGATGTCATTTCTCCTCATGGTGTTGCTAAAACAGGGGTTTGGAAAAGATGTTTCTGAAGCGTTCAGTCATGCAAGCGTCTCCCACTGGTTCCTCGCGGCCAGCAACTTGCAGCAGACACACACAGATGACGCCACAGTGGCAATGTGCGTGTCACTCCCAGTGTTGCCCTGTCTGGAGCCTGCTGCTATTGCAGAACTAGGTGACACATTAAAATATCATTTTCTTAATTTTGACACAAGATATAATATGTGCGAAGAACCTCATGATTGACACATCCAACTAGTGTCTATACATTGCACTAGAAAAACCGTCCTCTGTCTGTGAAAATATAAATGTCCTTTGAAATACTAAATGCAACACCATCTACACGTCCGTAAGACATTGAAAGTTCTGTTGGCATCAAAATGTCATCATGAACCAAAATGTACTGTACCTATGATTAGAATTTTAAAAACTTGAGGATTAAATTTTGTACAAAACTCTGTCTTAGATCAGCATATCCAATGGGCAGTTTGTCTGCTTTATTGGTAGTGACTAGTCTCTTCCATAATTTCCAAACAGAACAGCTAACTAATGCTTTCCTCTCTATTGATGCTTCTTGGAATTTTAATTACTCTGTTTAACTGCTATGAGCTTTAGTGTTGAATTTTATTTTTATGAGCCTTTTCAGCATAGTGTCAAGATAGTGCTTGTATATATCTCAAGCAAATTTTCAACTAACTGGTATAGATTTTTATACATTTAAGATTAGAAAAACCCATCATTTTTTACCTGAAGTATGCCTATTAAAACATAATTTAATTCAAAAACTTTTAAAATTATTAGAACATTTGTAAAAGTAATTATAATTTTCCCCAGAGAACAGATTATTATGTCTGATAATTTTATTTTTAATTCAGTTCAATTAAGATAAACAATTTGGTGAAATTGCAATTTGAAACAAAGCTGGGAATAAAGAAATACATATGTTATTAACTGTCTCTTATGGATAAATGTTACTAACACAGAGTTACTCCTTTTAAGAATTTTCAAGCTGATAGGAAGCTGTAAAGTCAAACCCAGCCAAGTTGACATCCCCTTATTCAGTTACAAATGAGTAGATGATAAGAAGTATGACTTATTGCCTTATGCAACTATTTAGGTGGAACTGGAGACCATGATCCTAAGTGAAGTATCTCAGGAATGGGAAAACCAACCCCACATGTTCTCACTAATAACGGGGAGCTAAATGCAGGGCACAGATGGGTACAAAGAGATGTAAAGGACATTGGAATCCAAGGAGGGGGAAGGTAGGAGGGGTGAGGGGTAGAAACTTACCTGTTGTGTACAGTGATAGGCACACTACAAACCCCAACTTAAGCATTTTTCAAGGTATCCATGTAACAAAAACATTTGTATGCCCGTAGTATTTTGGAAAAAACAAAGAAACACACACCAGAATCCAACAGTTAGTCTGCTTTCCAGGGACACTTTCAGCTATCAACTCTTTTTATTAGAAAGTGTTATGTATTGCCACTCTTGTCTATCCAACAAAAATAAGTCCCAGTGAGCACTAGCACAACTATGTCAGCAATGATCTCCACATCTTTATTTTAGGAAAATCAATAGTAGGGTTGATTTCTTCGCATGAAAATGCAAACTCTGCTTGCCTGTAAGGCAGGTATAAAATTCTCACTATCGTTAAATCTTTGTAATTTGCGTAGCAGGACAAAATGGAACATTCTTAGACAGGAGAACATGGAAGCTAAAGGAGACACTCATATTTGAAACACTGAAATTGTGGTCCCCGTAACACAAGAGGTGGCTTAGCATGATGTCATCCCCTCACCCACACGTGGTCTGTATGCACGTGAGAACTGGCCTGTCAAATCTCAACGCCACCAGTCCACGTTTTATTTGTATAGGGAGGCTGTATATAGATGCCTAATGAATGTTAGTAAGAACACAACTTACTCTGCAATTTATGAGAGGGTAATAAATAGTATTATGCAGTGATCTCTTCTAGCAGTAATCTGTAGTTCACTTTTCATCATGTTTCTTGTACCAATGTGACAACATAGTATATTTCTTTCTTTTTAAAATAAATCTATAAAAGTTCATGTCCCAATTCCATGCACCATGGTTAGTTTTCCATCATTCAGCTTTTGTTTTTGACCCAGTTCCTTCTATCTGCCCTATAAACACAGTCTATGCTCTGAGAAATAGATTTATAGATATATATATTATATATATAGAGAGAGAGAGATTCTAATAGATACAGTTCATGTTTTAAACAATTAAATTCCTTGACAAGAATTTATTAGATTTTTTTCAATTCTTTATATTTTTCACATCATGTTTTTCGTACTGCAGATGCATTATTCTCCTTTTTATTCCTCATTAGTTTCACTGACTTAAGGTCAGATGTAGAAAGGCGATGGGGAAAAAAAAAAAATCCCTGGGTTGTATATCCCTTAAAATTCTGCAGTGCTGTGTGAATTTAGCTCTGCTTTCAAGTGCTTTTAGTGACCTTGGGCACAGCCCATGTGTGCTGGAAATAATGGCCTAAGACACTAATTTACAGGGTCCATGGTGTTCTTCTTTTTTATCCTGAATATTGAGAAATGTATAACGACATTTCAGCATAGAAATTCTTGATCCTGACTGATCAATAAGGGTCACAGTGTCTAACAACTGGCTCTACACAGTAAGCACACTGTATATAGCGCACTCCATTTTTGAGCAGCTCTAATTTATTTCATTTTCTCCTCTATTTTAAAGGAAATGAGTTGAATAATTTTTATCATTATAAAGCAATCATAATGCATTTCTCCCAGCAGCCATATTTATTAAGTCATCTTTCAGAAGTGTCTTGAATATAATGTGGTGATTTTAATGTCATTCCTTGCATTTTGCTTGCTGGGCCACAAATATTAATCCTCATGTGTCTGTTATCTAGACATGTTTTAGATATTTAGTGACTCTGATGTATGTATGAATTTTAATGTGATTTTGGTGCAGATAAAGGCAGCAAAAATAACTAAAAGTATTTGTCATCATTATTGTTGACTTTCTTAAAGATGAAAATACAATGTTGAGAGAGGCTTTGAAATCCAACAGTTTTATCTGCTCTATGAATGATGCAATAGATATCCTATTATTGTTTATAGTTTTGAGTAAGACAGTAATTGCCATGAAAGATGAAGTCCCATCTTGAGATTCCAAGAAATCATTCATATAGAGGAAAAATTTAAATGAAATACTTTAATGTTTTGATTTAATGAATCTGTATATGCCCTTAACTTAGCAATGAAAATTTTCAGGGAAATAGTCATAGGGCCTTTGATTTCTGAAAATTAGATACTTAAATGCATCTTATGTCAAATTGAAACAATATGAATTTCAATATTGTCTTTTATATTAAATCATCAATCATTTCTTACATTTTATTTTTTGTTCCTTATTTGACTCTTAATACATTTTGTAAAATGAGCACTTATTTTCTTAGAGCATCTTGCTGGTTCATAATCTAGTTTAGAGCTGCAGTTAGTGTAAAAATTCACTTTTTTGGACAGTGAAATCAATATGAAGTCAAAAATTTCAAGCTGATTGCAGGTAACTTTTTCATTTGCATTATTAATGAAGAGGAATGAATTTAGAAGTGACCAAGGCCTAGACAACATGCTACTTGTTAAGCTGTAGGAACTGCCATTTCAGAATGTTGCCTAGTGTAATGATGCATGTGATTACCCAATGAACTTTATGATCTTTCTACTTATTTTTATAAGCAGACCATTTATGTGACTACATAAACAAGTTAATAATTATTTCCTCATCAAATATTATAATTAATGCTTTCCTTTCTAAACTCTGTCATCATATTTTAGAAGTAGTTTCATTTCTACTGAATGTTTCGTTGATTTTTGCTCTTAATTTTGTGCTGTTTACTGGGTGACCTTCTCACCTACAGTCATGTCCTTATGTGCCAAGATGTAGCTGCTGTATTTACTGTGGGCCTTTTGTACCAGTGGCAAAGAATGAGAAACAGTCCCTGTGTGCTGAAGTGGGAGGATAGGTGTGTGCCTTTGCCCGTCCCTTTTCAAACTCTTTTTCCTGGTGGCGCCCAGGTGTCCCTAAACCCTTGTGATTCCCTTCGCTTTGCATCCATGACATTCGCACCTTTGGTCCTAATCCAAATCCAGGTGCTACGATGACATTATTCCCTTAACTTCTTTCAAAATGTTGTTCAGCCTGCTTCTGAATATTGATTTGCTTCGCCCCTGTGTCCCCCTCCATGCTGTTTGACCCCAAAGTCAAATACCCTTTCCCTTCACAGAGGCATATGGATTATGCCCTCTCCTCCTCTCTGGCATAAGCAGATGGCAGTTCTATCAAGTCGCTAAAGCACATTTGTGACTCTAACAAAGAGGTCTGCCAGGGTTGGGGGAGACACCAGGGTTACCTTCTTTGGGAAAATTGCTCTCAGCGTTTATCCCCATTTACATACTTCACATTTATTTACTAAATTTGAAAGACGCATTCTTAAGGTCCCAAGAGTTTGGAAATAAATTTACCTCTGCCAGTAGGGACCCTTCTGTGTTTCTTTTTGAGATCCTTGCTCCAGGAGAGGCTGGGTGACCGGTGCTCTCACACCTCCATTTGCAAAAGAAAGACGATGTAGGGGGATGGGGGAAAAGTTCAAGGGACTTGGAGAAGGAGAAAATGGCTAAATGCATC